CTCCCTCCATACTCGGGGTCCTTGGGCCTCTCCATTCTTCCTTCATACTCCGGGTCCTTGTGCCTCTCCATTCTTCTTCCATACTCGGGGTCCTTGGGCCTCTCCATTCTTCCTCCATACTCGGGATCCTTGTGCCTCTCCATTCTTCCTCCATACTCGGGGTCCTTGGACCTCTCCATTCTTCCTCCATACTCGGGGTCCTTGGACCTCTCCATTGTTCCTCCATACTTGGGGTCCTTAGACCTCTCCATTCTTCCTCCATACTCGGGGTCCTTGGTTTCCAAATGAGATGCAAAAGTTGCTCTCATCAGAAAAGAGGACTTTGGACCACTAAGCAGCAGACCAGGTCTGTTTCTTTAGCCCAGGTAAGACGCTTCTGATGTTGTTCGTTGTTCAGGAGCGGCTTGACAAAAGGAATACGACATTTGAAGCCCATGTCCAGGATCCGTCTGTGTATGGTGGCTCTTGATGCACTGACTCCAGCCTCAGTCCACTCCTTGTGAAAGTCCCCAACACTTTTGAATGGCCTTTTTCTGACAATCCTCTCCAGGCTGCGGTCATCCATGCTGCTTGTGCACCTTTTTCTTCCACACTTTTTTCCTTCCACATAACGTTCTATTAATGTGCTTTGATATAGCACTTTGGAAACATCCAACTTCTTTTGCAATTACCTTTTGAGGCTTTCCCTCCTTATGGAGGGTGTCAGTGATGGTGTCAGGTCAGCAGTCTTTCCCATGATTGTGATTCCTACTGAACCAGACTGAGAGACCATTTAAAGGCTCAGGAACCCTTTGCATGAGTTATGGCTGAATGAGCTGATTAGAGTGGGACACTTTGAGCCGAGAATATTCCACCTTTTCACAATATTCTCATTTTCTGAGATTGTGGATTTTGGGTTTTCATGAGCTGTAAGCCATAATCATCACAATAATGACAAATCACGGCTTGAACTATCTTACTTTGCATGTAATGAGTCTATCTCATATATTAGAGTCACCTTTTAAGTTGCGTTGCTGAAATAAATGAACTTTTGCACCATATTCTAATTTTTCGAGTTTCACCTGTATATATTTAACATGATTTCCTATGGGACACGTTCCTATGGGACACGTTCACTTCACTTCAGCGTTTTCACCCGGTGCATTTTTTTGGAAAGGGTCAGGGATTTTGAATGCAAAAAGTTGCATTTTTGTTTCTATAGACTTCAATGGAAACGCTGCAGAAAAGGATGTATTGTGTTTTTGATGTGTTTTGCGTTTTAAATCTGCCTAGAAACAAGAAAGATTAAAAACAAAAAAAAACACGTAAAAAAGGCAAGTGCAAAAACGAAATGCAGAAACGGCTCAAACGCAACGTGCATAGGTGTGAACCTGGCCTAAAGGGATGAGGTGACAACCTTAGAGAGGGGTCGTTTCAGCTTCTTCCTCCTCTGGAATGATTTGAAGTCAAAATCTTGACAAGGGGGAGGGGCTGGAGCATGGATGCATGGAACCATGATCAGGGGCGGACTGACCATTTGGGCACTCGGGCACTGTCCGAGGGCCCAGGGTCAGTAGGGGGCCCCATGAGATGCCCTTTGTACCTTTTTCATAGGGTGAGGACACAGGGGCCCCATGATCCCCTATTGCCCGGGCCCCATGAGTTGTCAGTCCACCCCTGACCATGATGATGATTGGCTTAGCAAGTGACTGCCCAGCTCCCTCCCTATGCTGGCCCGGCACTGGGATGACATGGCCTGCATCTTCGTCCTTCGCTGCGAGTTCTCCCGACATTAGAGACAACTGGCTGAGTGTACACAGTGGGGCGAGCTGGGGGAGGGGAGCCCTGCAAGCTTCAGGAGCCGCTCATTATGACAAGCAGGAGACATGGAAACCTGACTGCAAACTGTGAACTTCTTGGAGGTGCCCAGTGCAGCTGCTGATGGGGGTGCTATGAAAATTTGTGGGGGTGTTATGGCACCTCCAAGCACCTACCTGGCACTGCAACTGGTGCAGGGGGTCCTGGATTCCTCCTGGTACAGGGGGTCCTGGGTTTCTCCTGGTACAGTGGGTCCTGGGTTCCTCCTGATGCAGTGGGTCTTGGGTTCCTCCTGGTTCAGTGGGTCCTGGGTTCCTCCTGGTGCAGGGGGTCCTGGGTTCCTCCTGCTGCACGACAATGCCCGGCCTCATGTGGGGAGAGTATGCAGGCAGTTCCTGGAGGATGAAGGAATTGATACCATTGAATGGCCCCCACGCTCACCTGACCTAAATCCAATAGAACACCTCTGGGATGTCATGTTTCAGTCCATCTGACACCGCCAGGTTGCATCTCAGACTGTCCAGGAGCTCAGTGATTGTCTGGGGAGGCATATCCATGGAGGGACGCACAGACCTCTATAGGCTAGACAATGGCATCCTGACTGCCATTAGGAATTGGGATGAAATCCTTGGACCCATTGTCAGACCCCTATGCTGGTGCAGTGGGTCCTGGGTTCCTCCTTGTGCGGGGGGGTCCTGGGTTCCTCCTGGTGCGGTAGGTCCTGGGTTCCTCCTTGTGCGGGGGGTCCTGGGTTCCTCCTGGTGCGGTGGGTCCTGGGTTCCTCTTTGTGCGGTAGGTCCTGGGTTCCTCCTTGTGCGGGGGGGTCCTGGGTTCTTCCTGGTGCAGTGGGTCCTGGGTTCCTCCTGGTACAGTGGGTCCTGGGTTACTCCTGGTGCGGTGGGTCCTGGGTTCCTCCTGGTGCGGTGGGTCCTGGGTTCCTCCTGGTGCGGTGGGTCCTGGGTTCCTCCTGGTGCACAATGCCCGACCTTATGTGGGGAGAGTATATAGGCAGTTCCGGGAGGATGGAGGAATTGATACCATTGAATGGCCCCCCACGCTTGCCTGACCTAAATCCAATAGAACTCCTCTGGGATGTCATGTTTGGTCCATCCGACACCTCCAGGTTGTACCTCAGACTGTCCAGGAGCTCAGTGATGCCTTGGTCCAGATCTGGGAGGAAATCCCCCAGGACACCATCCGTGGTCTCATTAGGAGCCTCCCCCGACGTAGTCAAGCATGCATACAAGCACGTGGGGGCCACACAAACTACTGAGGACCATTCTGAGTTGCTGCAATGACATTTCATCAACATGGACTCACCTGCTGCATCATTTCTTCACTTTGATTTTTGGGGTGTCTTTGAATTCAGTCCTCTGTAGGTCGATCATTTCCATCAAACAATGGGGCGTCCTTACATTCCTCACCCATCCCCCGTCCATGTCAGTATAGAGATCCAGCAGGAGATTCCTCCCCATTGAGATCTGATGGGTTCTCAGAGTCTTCCTTTCATTTTTTGAGCCGTGTATATCTGACGCTTATAAAGGGAGGATTGTGAAGGAGCAAAATCTGCCATTTGTGAGGCGGGAATATCCAGCCAAGGTTGCCATACTTTGGTACATTTTTTGGACAGGAACAACCTTTGTAAATGATCCGGTAACGCCTGGTTGGTCAGGCAACAAACACACGCAGGGGGGGACTGACAACTCATGGGGCCCCCGGGCAATAGGGGATCATGGGGCCCCTGTGTCCTTGCCCAAACTCAAAAAGGCCTATGAAAAAGGTAGCAGGGACATCTCATGGGGCCCCCTACTGACCCCGGGCCCTCAGGCAGTGCCCGAGTTTCCAAATGGTTAATCCGCCCCTGAACACACGGCAATGTGTGTGGGGGGGGGGGGGGATGGATCTTTCCAATGCTTTTTTTTTTTCATAGAAAAAAGATCAAACAATCGTAATCCGGTTACAAGTAAGAGGAACACAATCATCAAGTGCGCCAACCTCTGCCCCTCACCCACCTCCGACCATCGTCCATTGGTTCCACCCCCTACCAGTACCGCCCCTTTTAAAAAGAAAATATAGAACCATCATTTTGTGGTACTAAATCATTTGTATGGAAATTGTTAATGACAGAAAAAAAACAGTAAAATAGACCCCTGCAGCCAACAACGATAGATCCTTCACCATCAACACTAGACCGCACAGCAACAATAGATCCTCCCAGCAACATTAGAACACACAGCAACAATAGATCCTTCTCAGCAACATTAGACCACACAGCAACACTAGATCCTTCCCCAGCAACATTAGACCCCACATCAACAATAGATCTTTTCCAGCAACATTAGACCGCACAACAACAATAGATCCTTCCCCAGCAACACCAGACCGCACAGCAACAATAGATCCTTCCCAGCAACATTACACCACACATCAACAAAAGCTCCTCCCCAGCAACATTAGACCCCACAGCAACAAAAGATCCTTCCCCAGCAACATTAGACCCCACGTCAACAATAGATCCTCCCCCAGCAACATCAGACCCCCACGGCAACAATAGATCTTTCCCAGCAACATTAGACTCCACATCAACAATAGATCGTTCCCAGCAACATTAGACCACACAGCAACAATAGATCTTTCCCAGAAACATTAGACCCCACAGCAACAAAAGATCCTTCCCCAGCAACATTAGACCCCACATCAACAATAAATTCCTCCCAGCAACAAGAGACCCCCACAGCAACAAAAGATTCTTCCCCAGCAACAATAGATCCCCCACAATTGTGGACCCCCCTGCAACAGTGGACCCTTGGCAACAAAATTCCACCCCCAGCAACAATAGACCCACCACAAACAACAGATCTCTCCGCAAGCAGCCTCAATAGGCCCTCCAGCAGCCAGCATCAATAGGCTTTTCCCTCAACAGTAGATCCTTCCCAGCAACAACTGATCCCCCCAGCAACACAAGACCCCCTCAGTAACAAATGATCCACCAACAGCTCCATTAACATACATCCAGTGCTGGAGGTTCCCCCGCGGTCCCACTAAAACAAAGCCCTGGTATTTACTAATATAAATACAAAGGGAGCCTCATCCTTGAGATGTGCCCAGAGTGGCGTCATTATTACACACCGCTATCCATGTCCAATCTGTCCCAGCAGGCGGCAGGGAACTGAACGTGTTCAGACATGGATGGCCTCAGGATCATGAAAGGACTGCCGCTCATTGAAGATATCGCAGATAACTGGGAGAATGTGCAGAGGTTCCAAGCCCGAGAAGACGACCTGCTGTTAGTGACCTACCCTAAATCAGGTGAGATTGTACAGAGCAGTCCTAGTCATTCATCATAAACTGATGGTGGAGGTCCGTCTCAATGCTTAAAGTGGAACTCCGCTGCCTCCGAGGCCCACAAACGCTGTATAATTCATTGTTACTATTCAAAACAAACTCCTCCATCCACCCCATGCCTCCATGCTTTATTTTGCTGAGAAATTATTTAAAATAAATACATTCTGGCAGTGGCCATCTTTAGTAAGGGCAGAGGATTCATGTAGCAGGTACTTCCTGGAATCCATCTGTCCTTAGCTCAGGCATTGGCTGAGCTGAGAATTCTTCCTCCCCTCCTGAAGACTCCTGGGATGTATGACATCATTAGCCTAAGCATGGAAACCGGGAATTGAAAGAATGCAAAAACATTTTGAAAACGAGTAAATGATACATTTCCTATCTATTTACTAATGCTAGAGACATAGGATTAGAAATAGTCCATGTTGACTGAGAGAGAGAAGTGCCACTTGAGTTCACATTGATGTCATTGCCACTGCTTCTGTTACATAGGTGGTCATTGTCAATGTTCCCCTGAAATTGGTGGCCACTGTCAATTCTACCGTTACATTTGTGATCAGTGCTGATGCTCCCAATACATTGGTGGTCAGTGTCGATGCTTCTGTTAAGTAGGAGATCAGTGTTGATGTCTCCACTACATTGACGGTCAGTGTCAGCGCTCGCTCCCATTATATTGAAGTCAACGTTGGCTCTGCCATTACATTGGAGGTCAGCGTTGGCTCTGTCATTACATTGGAGGCCAGCGTTGGCTCTGCCATTACATTGGAGGTCAGCATTGGCTCTGCCATTACATTGGAGGTCAGCGTTGGCTCTGCCATTACATTGGAGGTCAGCGTTGGCTCTGCCATTATATTGGAGGTCAGTGCTGGCTCTGCCATTACATTGGAGGTCAGCGTTGGCGCTGCCATTACATTGGAGGTCAGCGTTGGCTCTGCCATTACATTGGAGGCCAGCGTTGGCTCTGCCATTACATTGGAGGCCAGCGTTGGCTCTGCCATTACATTGAAGGTCAGCGTTGGCTCTGCCATTACATTGGAGGTCAGCGCTGGCTCTGCCATTACACTGGAGGTCAGCGTTGGCTCTGCCATTACACTAGAGGTCAGCGTTGACTCTGCCATTACACTAGAGGTCAGCGTTGGCTCTGCCATTACATTGGAGGTCAGCGTTGACTCTGCCATTACACTGGAGGTCAGCGTTGGCTCTGCCATTACACTGGAGGTCAGCGTTGACTCTCCCTATTACACTGGAGGTCAGCGTTGACTCTCCCTATTACACTGGAGGTAAGCATTGGCTCTCCCTATTACACTGGAGGTCAGCGTTGGCTCTCCTTATTACACTGGAGGTCAGGGTCGGCTCTCCCTATTACACTGGAGGCCAGCGTTGGCTCTGCCATTACAGTGGAGGTCAGCGTTGGCTCTGCCATTACATTGGAGGTCAGCGTTGACTCTGCCATTACATTGGAGGTCAGCGTTGGCTCTGCCATTACACTGGAGGCCAGCGTTAGCTCTGCCATTACATTGGAGGTCAGCGTTGGCTCTGCCATTACATTGAAGGTCAGCGTTGGCTCTGCCATTACATTGGAGGTCAGCGTTGGCTCTGCCATTACATTGGAGGCCAGCGTTAGCTCTGCCATTACATTGAAGGTCAACGTTGGCTCTGCCATTACATTGGAGCTCAGCGTTGGCTCTGCCATTACATTGGAGGTCAACGTTGGCTCTGCCATTACATTGGAGCTCAGCGTTGGCTCTGCCATTACATTGGAGGTCAACGTTGGCTCTGCCATTACATTGGAGCTCAGCGTTGGCTCTGCCATTACATTGGAGCTCAGCGTTGGCTCTGCCATTACATTGGAGCTCAGCGTTGGCTCTGCCATTACATTGGATGTCAACGTTGACTCTGCCATTACATTGGAGGTCAACGTTGGCTCTGCCATTACACTGGAGGACAGCGTCGGCTCTGCCATTACATTGTCCATTATTGATGTATTATATTAATGTATTATAAGGACATTGTAGATAAATCAACACAGTGACCACCCCTCTGTTTCCTTTCAGGCACTACGTGGATTAGTGAAATTGTGGATCGGATGTGTAGAGACACCTCTGACAGAGAGACAAAGGACATATTCCAGAGGGTGCCCTATCTTGAGTTTGCTATGCCAGGCAATACTTCAGGTACCTTCAGTATTCTCTGTATTTCATGGTGTACAGATGTGTAAGGAGTTCAGTTACATGGCGTTAGTCTAGTGGTTAGAAATCACATGATTACAAAGAGCCCCACTTCTCTACCATGATGACCTGATGGACAGGAGGCCCAGAGCCTTGCATCTAAGGCAGCTTCTATAACCAGGCATGACGTAAACATCTGTACTCAGAATACATTCTGCCATTTCTCCCTATCAGGAACAGAATTGCTGGACAAACAAGATTTCCCTCGAATTATAAAGACTCACCTGTCTGCTGAAACCTTGCCGCTCAGCTTCTGGGAGAAAAACTGTAAGGTGCATCTAAGATTTTTTTTATTATATAGTACAAAATAAGGGTTGATTTTCTAAATAGTAAATTTTATTAAGTTAGTGTCGCGCTCCACTGAAAATATATATTAATAGTAATTTTAGTGAAAAATCTAAATTTATATACAAGTGAACGTTAGTATATTTAAAGTGCAATAAGTGCTCTAAAAATGATATTATTATAATATATATATATATATTTATGATCCAAAAAAGTATTTTTTTAAATATATATAAAGTGGTAGGAAAAAAATTAATATTAAATGTAATAATTATTTAGTGTTCAAAAATTTAAAGTAATGTCCAACCTAGCTGGACAGTCTCAGAAAAGCAAAGCTCCTCCTTTCTTTAGTGTCTCTTGGGAATTGAAGTCCAAAGGGTCAATAAGTTCCACAATACAATATGGCTTAGTTCCTGGACTTCAGCTCCCAAGATCCTCGGCGTTCTCCATAAGCAGCTTTTCTGGCTATAGTTCTCCCCCTACTGACTGGAGGGGATATTGCAATACAAAATGCAGCATACCAGCAGAAGGTGCAAGTAAACTGATTGTAAAAAGGGAAATGTCTCCTTCTCCATGTTTCTGTAGTCCAACACCTGGCTACACACATAATTCCATGGTATCCCACATATCCCCCAGACATTCATTTTGGTCACCATATGGACTGGAAAGTCTATCATTGACATGATTTTGCAGGAGCTCCAGTGGCTCCTCGGGGGGTATATGGCCAACATTTTATGAAGAGATACGCTGCATTTGATGGATGTATATTAGATTTTGTTTCTCAGCTGGAAACAAAAATGTCCATCTTCTTCAGGATGTGTAAATCAGAAATGCCGCTGATAGGTCCCACCCTCCTAGAGCTGACCTCCAATGTCTACGTCATGGTACCTTCCAGGACTACTGACCACTTCTACTGACCACTTCTACTGACCACTTCTACTGACCACTTCTACTGACCACTTCTGATCATTCTTTCACCCAGATCATCTATGTATCCCGGAATGTGAAAGACGTGGCTGTGTCATTTTATCACTTTCATCGCATGGCGACTCACTTACCGGAGTCGGGATCCTGGGAAGAATTCCTCGAAAAATTCATCAAGGGGAACGGTGGGACTTGTGTGTTGTGTGGTTTTTCTTTTTTTGTTTTTTTAGCCCACCCTGAGCTCACCTAACCCACCCTCCTCATCCATAATAGGGATGATGAGCTGACCATTCAGTCTCAACTTTTGCCATTCTGGCAGCCTGTCCAGTGAGAGCCCAAAATCATACATAGAAGCAGTGTTTCTATTGCATCCATGTATGACGGCTTCCTAAGGAAACTGCGGCTGCATACTTTCATCCCTGAGAACTACTGACATCACCGGGAATCCCGGCTACTTAAAGTGTAACTAAACCCCCAACAGTACAATCAGTCTGTAGATGCAGTAAAGCATGCTTGTTGTACTCACTGTGGAACCTAAGGGGTTAATCCTCTGCACTGTGTAAAAAGGCTGTTTGATCAGGTTTTCTCTGATCCTCCCCTTCTTCCAGTGCCCCCCTCTTATTTTCTGACAAGACATATCGTGCAGTGTCACTCTGCACATGCTCAGTTTTGTATGCATGGCTAGAGAGGTTTTATTTTCTTGTGGTCAGCATAGGGCCAATCAGCACTGTTCAGACAGAGGTCAAGGGGTTCTGCATCCCCCTAGAGCAAAATGAAAGCTCCTCCTACAAGCTTTAACACGTTCTCTGCTGGACACTAATAGAAGTCACAAGACTGCTATATACTGCTGATGAGAAAAGGTATTTAGCAGGTTATATTTACTAAAATTGTTGCAGTTCCATGTTCTGTGTACTGTGGGAGACCAGATATAGTGAATGCAGGGTCCGGGGAGACCAGATATAGTGAATGCGGGGTCCGTGGAGACCGGATATAGTGAATGCAGGGTCCGTGGAGACCGGATATAGTGAATGCGGGGTCCGGGGAGACCAGATATAGTGAATGCGGGGTCCGGGGAGACCAGATATAGTGAATGCGGGGTCCGGGGAGACCAGATATAGTGAATGCAGGGTCCGGGGAGACCAGATATAGTGAATGCAGGGTCCGGGGAGACCAGATATAGTGAATGCGGGGTCTGGGGAGAGCGGATATACTGAATGCGGGGTCCGGGGAGAGCGGGTATAGTGAATGCGGGGTCCGGGGAGAGCGGATATAGTGAATGCGGGGTCTGGGGAGACCGGATATAGTGAATGCGGGGTCCGGGGAGAGGAGATATAGTGAATGCAGGGTCCGGGGAGATCAGATATAGTGAATACAGGGTCCGGGGAGACCAGATATAGTGAATGCAGGGACCGGGGAGACCGGATATAGTGAATGCAGGGTCTGGGGAGAGCGGATATAGTGAATGCGGGGTCCGGGGAGAGCGGATATAGTGAATGCGGGGTCCGGGGAGAGCGGATATAGTGAATGCGGGGTCCGGGGAGATCAGATATAGTGAATGCAGGGTCCGGGGAGACCAGATATAGTGAATGCAGGGACCGGGGAGACCGGATATAGTGAATGCAGGGTCCGGGGAGAGCGGATATAGTGAATGCGGGGTCCGGGGAGAGCGGATATAGTGAATGCGGGGTCCCGGGAGAGCGGATATAGTGAATGCGGGGTCCAGGGAGAGCGGATATAGTGAATGCGGGGTCCGGGGAGACCTGATATAGTGAATGCAGGGTCCGGGGAGACCGGATATAGTGAATGCGGGGTCCGGGGAGACCGGATATAGTGAATGCGGGGTCCGGGGAGACCGGATATATTAAATATACAGTCAGGTCCATAAATATTGGGACATCGACACAATTCTAACATTTTTGGCTCTATACACCACCACAATGGATTTGAAATGAAACGAACAAGATGTTCTTTAACTGCAGACTGTCAGCTTTAATTTGAGGGTATTTACATCCAAATCAGGTGAACGGTGTAGGAATTACAACAGTTTGCATATGTGCCTCCCACTTGTTAAGGGGCCAAAAGTAATGGGACAGAATAATAATCATAAATCAAACTTTCACTTTTTAATACTTGGTTGCAAATCCTTTGCAGTCAATTACAGCCTGAAGTGTGGAACGCATAGACATCACCAGACGCTGGGTTTCATCCCTGGTGATGCTCTGCCAGGCCTCTACTGCAACTGTCATCAGTTCCTGCTTGTTCTTGGGGCATTTTCTCTTCAGTTTTGTCTTCAGCAAGTGAAATGCTCAATCGGATTCAGGTCAGGTGATTGACTTGGCCATTGCAGAACATTCCACTTCTTTCCCTTAAAAAACATTTTGGTTGCTTTTGCAGTCTGCTTTGGGTCATTGTCCATCTGCACTGTGAAGCGTCCAATGAGTTGTGAAGCATGTGGCTGAATATGAGCAGATAATATTCCCGAAACACTTCAGAATCCATCCGGCTGCTTTTGTTAGCAGTCACATCATCAATAAATACAAGAGAAGCAGTTCCATTGGCAGCCATACATGCCCACGCCATGACACTACCACCACCATGATCACTGATGAGGTGGTATGCTTAGGATCATGAGCAGTTCCTTTCCTTCTCCATACTCTTCTCTTCCCATCACTCTGGTACAAGTTGATCTCGGTCTCATCTGTCCATAGGATGTTGTTCCAGAACTGTGAAGGCTTTTTTAGATGTCGTTTGGCAAACTCTAATCTGGCCTTCCTGTTTTTGAGGCTCACCAATGGTTTCCATCTTGTGGTGAACCCTCTGTATTCACTCTGGTGAAGTCTTCTCTTGATTGGTGACTTTGACACACATACACCTACCTCCTGGAGAGTGTTCTTGATCTGGCCAACTGTTGTGAAGGGTGTTTTCTTCAACAGGGAAAGAATTCTTCGGTCATCCACCACAGTTGTTTTCCGTGGTCTTCCGGGTCTTTTGGTGTTGCTGAGCTCACCGGTGCGTTCCTCCTTTTTAAGAATGTTCCAAACAGTTGTTTTGGCCACGCCTAATGTTTTTGCTATCTCTCTGATGGGTTTGTTTTGTTTTTTCAGCCTAATGATGGCTTGCTTCACGGATAGTGACAGCTCTTTGGATCTCATCTTGAGAGTTGACAGCAACAGATTCCAAATGCAAATAGCACACTTGAAATGAACTCTGGACCTTTTATCTGCTCATTGTAATTGGAATAATGAGGGAATAACACACACCTTGCCATGGAACAGCTGATAAGCCAATTGTCCCATTACTTTTGGTCCCTTAACAAGTGGGAGGCACATATGCAAACTGTTGTAATTCCTACACCGTTCACCTGATTTGGATGTAAATACCCTCAGATTAAAGCTGACAGTCTGCAGTTAAAGCACATCTTATTTGTTTCATTTCAAATCCATTGTGGTGGTGTATAGAGCCAAAAATGTTAGAACTGTGTCGATGTCCCAATATTTATGGACCTGACTGTATATAGTGCAGCGCTGTAATATAATTAAAAAGATAAAAATAGTTCATAAAATCTTTTCACAATAAAATCGAACATGTGCAGGCCTCCTCCTCTTTAGGTGACTGGAATCAAACAGAAAAAATGCGCACTCACCGACCGCACATTTTAAATGCGCTTGTGTGTGATTTTATCCAAAAGACCAGCCAGGCATGCAGCTCCAGAAAACACATGGATCATCCCTCTTAAACACTGACATCAGCCTTGGGTGCAGCAATACCTCCAGGTCCAGAGACCCTCTCGCCCCAAATGATAGGTAGACAGGGGTCCCCCTTCTGGTTCCAGGTACCCCAAAAGTGGTAGGTGCAGATCTGAAACCCTCCAACTCTAGTAAGGTCAGGTGGCTCTCTCTATATCCATCTCCATAAACATCCAAGATTTTCATTAGACATCACATCAAAACACAGCGCGAGTGTGGCCTGGGGCGACCTGATATAGTGAATGTGGGGTCCGGGGCGACTGGATATAGTGAATGTGGGGTCCGGGGAGAGCAGATATAGTGAATGCAGGGTCCGGGGAGAGCAGATATAGTGAATGCAGGGTCCGGGGAGAGCGGATATAGTAAATGCAGGGTCCTGGGAGAGTGGATATAGTGAATGCAGGGTCCTGGGAGAGTGGATATAGTGAATGCGGGATCCGGGGAGAGCGGATATAATGAAAGCTGGGTCTGGGGAGAGGGGATATAGTGAATGCAGGGTTTGGGGAGAGCGGATATAGTGAATGCAGGGTCCGGGGAGACCAGATATAGTGAATGCAGGGTCCGGGGAGACCGGATATAGTGAATGCGGGGTCTGGGGAGAGCGGATATAGTAAATGCAGGGTCCTGGGAGAGTGGATATAGTGAATGCAGGGTCCTGGGAGAGTGGATATAGTGAATGCGGGATCCGGGGAGAGCGGATATAATGAAAGCTGGGTCTGGGGAGAGGGGATATAGTGAATGCAGGGTTTGGGGAGAGCGGATATAGTGAATGCAGGTTCCGGGGAGAGCGGATATAATGAAAGCTGGGTCTGGGGAGAGGGGATATAGTGAATGCAGGGTCCGGGGAGAGCGGATATAATGAAAGCTGGGTCTGGGGAGACCGGATATAGTGAATGCGGGGTCCGGGGAGAGCGGATATAGTGAATGCAGGGTCCGGGGAGACCAGATATAGTGAATGCAAGGTCCGGGGAGACCAGATATAGTGAATGCAGGGTCCGGGGAGACCAGATATAGTGAATGCAGGGTCCAGGGAGAACGGGTATGGTGAATGCGGGGTCCAGGGAGAACGGGTATGGTGAATGCGGGGTCCAGGGTTTAGTAACACTGTAAGGGTGGGGATTGTAGTGACATCACTGCCCAGATATAGACATTAAATAAAGGACTTGTCAAATGTTTGGGGGTCTTTATTTCTAGATTACAATTCTTTTTTTGTGATTGAGTAGGGGTACTATGTACCCTATACTCATTCATGTGGGGGGGGGGCAGTATCTCGGGGCCCCCTTATAATTCAAGCTGGCTTCCAGATTCTGATAAGTCTCCTTCCACAGACCCCCACAACCACTGGCCAGAGTTGTGGGGATGAGACCCTTATCCTCTTCAACATGGGGACATGGTGCTTCGCAGTGGTGGTCCCCCCTGGCAAGGCACCCCTTCTCATTTTGAGGGCATGTGGCCTAGTATGGTTAATGGGACCTCTTACTTTTTTTTTCTTTTCTTGGTGCAGTGCTCCTAAAAATCGACCCAAAGGTACCCATCTTTGACACGGGAGCGGGGGGGGCAAGGCCTTAAAGCTGAACTTCTTCGCCTTTTGGGAGGAGTGCCGCTTTATGTCAATTGTTCTGCATCTTTTTGCCTTTTAGTCTTTAGCCCGGAAGACGTCCATCAGGCCAGATTAGCCTCATTGACCAGCAGACCTGTAATTCTGATTCTCTGTCTCTGATAGTTGAATACGGGTCGTGGAGTGACCATGTGAGATCTTGGTGGAAGAGGAGACAACAAAGGAACATATTGTACTTGTCCTACGAGGACATGCTGGAGGTGAGAGATGTGATGGAGGAATACACTGGACTGACTGTAGACCTAGCCGTGTCTGTACAGACCTCCCGCTCTAGGGGGAACCTACATGGGTTTTAATGGCCCGGGGCAAGGCAACTTATGGGTGACAAGCTGCACGCGATGTGATTTGCCACGCTACAATCACGGCAAAATCGCACCGCATTTTAGGCGCCATTGAACATAATGGCACATGAATCTACCTTTGCGATCGCAGCGTTTCTGCCACGATCCCAAAACGCCCAGGTGTGAATGGAGCCGCCCTGGTTCAAGCACATGCAACTCTGGATGTGTGTTTCAAACTCGCAGATTCTCATGACAGGCTAGATATTGTGTTCCTATCAAGGTGGTTCACACAGGTGCGATCCACACGCATTGTGTTCTGAGTGATATTACGAAAAGGGTCCTGTGAGAGTTTGTAGCGGTGCGTTCCAGACTCACAAGTGATAGAGTAGATTGGCTTGCAGATAGGATTGCTATTGAAAGGAGTTTTTGCACTATAGTCAATGGGAGGCGTTTTTGCAGTCAAGTCAATGGGAGGCCCTTTTGCAGTCAAGTCAATGGGGAGGCGCTTTTGCAGTCAAGTCAATGGGGAGGCGCTTTTGCCGTCAAGTCAATGGGAGGCGTCTTTGCACTGAAGTCAATGGGAGGCGTTTTTGCACTCAAGTCAATGGGGAGGCGTTTTTGCACTGAAGTCAATGGTAGGCATTTTTGCGCTCAAGTCAATGGGAGGCGTTTTTGCACTTAAGTCAATGGGAGGCGTTTTTGCACTGAAGTCAATGGGAAGGCGTTTTTGCACTGAAGTCAATGGGAGGCGTTTTTGCACTGAAGTCAATGAGAGGCGTTTTTGCACTGAAGACAATGGGAGGCGTTTTTGCACTGAAGTCAATGGTAGGCGTTTTTGCGATCAAGTCAAAGGGGAGGCGTTTTTGTATTGTAGTAAAGGGAAACCGTGCATGAACCCAGGTGCCAGTATGCATTTTCTAGTCACCATGGTGACCTGGCACTTGCGATTTGTCGAGCTCTGGTTTATTATATCTATATACTTATTAGTATGTGGTTAAAAGTATTAATTTTTGATGCTGTCAAATAAGCTTGCAGAGTAGGGAGATTAGATTACAAAAGATGCCAAAAACCTAACGGTAGTGCTGGGCTTTCTTATTAGAAAGCCCAGAATCAGGTCTAGATTTACCATGAGACACAATAGGCCTCTGCCTTTAGGTGGCTGAGATAAAACGTCTCTTCTCTGTAGACGTCGGCTACCATTCTTTCCCATCATTGGTGGGATTGGAAGTCATGAGCCTATTTACTAATCTGTCACAATATTGAAAGCCAGTTACGCTATTAGTCCACATTGGGTTCCTCGCTCCACCCAGCAGTACATTGATAAGAACTCCGAAGGTGATGAAAATTTAGAACAAAAATTTCAATCAAACTTTCTTCAGCCAGACATTTTTTCACAGTGGCCCTTATCTATTTACTTGTGAGCAGGACCTGAGACGGGAGATTCAGAAGGTAATGATGTTTCTTGGGAAGGACCTGTCAGATGAGGTTCTGGATGATATTCAGCGCCACACCACATTCAGCGTTATGAGAGAAAACCCGATGACCAACTACAGCAATGCCCACAGAATGGACCAAACCATTTCCCCCTTCATGAGGAAAGGTAGGGGGGTCCAGAGTGGAACAATAAAGGCCTGTGAGCTCCAGTATGATTTTCTAACTTAGGGCACCACCTATACCTTAACCCTTCCTCAACTTTGCTTGGCTTTACCTTGTGTTCCACTTACTGTATGCCTCTCTTTTCCCTTCTGTCTGATCTGTCTCTGTTCCTCACTGCTCCCCTCCATCACACCTAGGCCTTTCTATTCCTTTCTGTTCCCCTTCATCTTACCTATGTCTCTCTCCTCCTCTACCTCTTCTCCTCCTTCTCACCTGTATCTACTCTTCTCCTCCCCTCATCTCGCCCTTATCTGCTCTCTTCCTCCATCTGTTCTCCTCCACTCAGTCTCACTCGTATCTGCTCTCTTCAGCTACCTGTTCTCCTCCCCTCATCTCACCCATATCTGCTCTCTTCAGCTACCTGTTCTCCTCCCCTCATCTCACCCGTATCTGCTCTCTTCAGCTACCTGTTCTCCTCCCCTCATCTCACCCATATCTACTCTCTCCCTCCATCTGGTCTCCTCCAGTCTCACCCGTAATCTGCTCTCTTCTTCTACCTGGTCTCCTCCAGTCTCACCCGTAATCTGCTCTCTTCCTCTACCTGGTCTCCTCCAGTTTCACCCGTAATCTGCTTTCTTTCTTCCTCTACCTGGTCTCCTCCAGTCTCACCAGTAATGTGCTCTCTTCTTCTACCTGGTCTCCTCCATCTCACCCGTAATCTGCTCCCTTCCTCTACCTGGTCTCCTCCAGTCTCACCTGTAATCTGCTCTCTTCCTCTACCTGGTCTCCTCCAATCTCACCCGTAATCTGCTCTCTTCCTCTCTCCAGGAATCTGCGGTGATTGGAAGAACCATTTCACATTGGCTCAGAGGGAGAGATTTGATGAGCATTATCACAAAGAGATGGCTGGAATGGACCTGACCTTCCACTTCTAGGATTGGCAGAACTTTCCACATCTTGTCATAGACTTCCTACAGCTGCTTCATACCACTGATACCGGGATGAAATAAATGTCCACATACCTGTCTTCCTGCCATCAGCCTCATTGAATAAAATTGTAGACATAGTTTCTCAGCCTGAAATGGCCAATAACATGTAATAGGCTGTCCTTGGCAACTTCTAATGCTGACCTCCAGCCTTCCCTTCAGTTCTGCACAGTTGTACCATTTTTCCTCCTCTCTTGCTTAATCTGATTGCACTGCACACTGTGAGCTTCTCACAATGTGCATTAGAAATTGCAGTCAGAACCTCCCTCATATCCTGGATGGAGGACATCCAAAATCAGATGTTAGATATGTAAATGCAAATGAACGTGGGCAGCTGCAGTTCCAGCACCTCCAGCACTGAAAGTACATAATGACAAGGGGTGGTGGGGTGTACTGCAGGATCCATTAATGCTGGCTGCTGGTGGATCTATGGTTACTGGAGGGGATCTATTTTTGCAGGGGAAGAAGGCAGGTCTATTGATGTTGGGGAAGTCTACTGTTGATGGGGAGGGATCTATTGTTGCTGAGGGTGGGTCTTATGTTGTTGTGTGGACTATTGTTGATGGGAGGGATCTACTGAGGGATCTAAGGAGGAGGTCTATCATTGCTAGCTGATGGAATTTCAATTGATGCTGGCGGTGGGGAGATCTGTTGATGCTGTTGGGGGACTATTGTTGCTGGCAGGGTATTGTTGCAGGTGGTCTATTATTGCTGGGGGGGGGTCTATTGTTTGCTACAGGGGATCTATTTTACTGCTTTTCTTGTTATCATTAATCAATTCCATACAAATTGATAATTGGTTCTGTATTCTCTAAGGGTGGTATTGGGGGGTTGGTAAGGGATGGAATCAAGGGAAGGTGGAGTCAGGGGGTGACAAGGAAAGGGAGAGTTCCTGCACCTATTCTCTGAGAAAAAAGCCCTATTTAAATACAACCTCCCTAGGAACACCCATTCCTCCAGACTGACAACTGTAACAATCATGCACACAGGGAGAGGCACGGTTCTCCATTTTGCTCCAAACTTCTGCATTTTGGTATTTCTCTTAAACTCCTATACAACCACCTGAGGGGGGGAAGTGTCGCAATCGTGCACACAAGAGCCAGGCACGCCCCTCGTTTTGTTAAGATTCTTTATGTTATCCCCTCATTCCCCCTCCCTCAGGAATGTGTTCAATGTACGTTGCTAAGTGGATGTCTATACAATCCTCTTCCCAAATAAGGTAATTGGCTTGTCCGTTGTAAGAAGATACCAATTGATTTTTGGGAGAAATAGGCTGTTATGCTTTGGGTGCGAGAGAGAAGTGAGGATCTCCTGCGTTTAACATCTCGCAGAGAGAGAAAGGAGAATCTCGCTGTAACAACAAAACTGAGTGAGAGACCAGAAATCCTTTCTGAGCTCATCAGACTGGACACTGCTTAACTCCAGGCATCTTTTTGGCAAGTACTTATTTACCTAAACTTCTTTCTGTTATCTGTTTGCTGTGCTGTTGTGCTCTGTATATTTATATATATATGTATATTGGTTACATCTTTTTTCTATAAATATTTCTACTGTACCCTTTTGACCTTTTAGTAATAAATCTTACTTTCTGAAAGTGTTGAACTGTTTCTATAGCTCTTTAATGTAACTTACGAATCCCTGCCGCTGAAGAGCGCTACTATGAGTATTTAACCCTCTGTATAACCTGCCTGCAGAGATAGCGGTATACCGACGATTAACCAATCATCCTAGTGTATTGTTGAGTTTCCTCTTTCTCTATACAAAAAGGAGGTGGTGGCAGTGTGAAGGGTTAATTGCGTAATTAACCTGACCCAGTAACAAACGCTCCCAGGCTGCAGGTGCATCGATTGTGGTCCAATTAGCTGGAAAATCGTTGTGCAGGGTGCAGCTGGGCGTGGCATTGTTACGCACGTGACATCGCGGTTTTAGATTGGCTAGTCCTTCGGTCACAAGTTTGGTGAGAAGGTCTGGGGTCTGACGCGTCACAACAACCACCCATGTAGGCATTTGATATTTGCCTAATGCCTTCCAAGAACCAACCTACTGCTTCCAATGGGGCTGAGGGCTCTTGCGAGTGGTACTGAGGCAGGATGATGTGATGTTTTCAAGAAGCTATGCAGAGTACCTGGCTGGCCTCTCCCACCAGCCATTATCTGCCTGCATTGCGTAGAGAAGCACAAAGACCCAGTGATTACATCAAGGGATCCGAATTAAGGGATATTATAAAAATTGGAAGATTTGTTGAAAAACCTTGTTAGGATGTTGATAAAAAGAAAGAAGATATAATCAGATTAAACTTCAGATTTAATGTTTGTGGATATCGGTACTAAAAAAAAAAAATTATTTTTCATTTATTGACTCTTAGGAAGACAGAGAACACCAGTTTGAAGAGAAACTGCTAGAAAAAAAAGCAGAGGGCCATCAATAAGATTTAAAACACCAGAAGAAGCAACAGATTCACTATTATTCTTTTTATATATGTTGACTTGAGTCTGCCCTGGATTCATTGCTTGAAACAACCTGCTGGCTACATGGGGCTACAATGTCATTCCAACCCACTTTCCCCAAATGGAAATGTAGTCATGGCGGATTTCCACGTGCCTGCTGGGTGTCCGTCTAGAGAGAATAAATTCAGTTCCTCTAATCTTTCCTCATAGCTGAGCTCCTCCATGCCTCATATCAGTTTGGTTGCCCTTCTCTGTACTTTCTCCAGTTCCCCAATGTTCTTTTTGTGAATTATTGGAGCCCAAAACTGAACTGCATATTCCAGATGAGGTCTTACTAATGATTTGTACCGGGGGGGGGGGGGGTAATGATATCTCTCTCTGGAGTCTATACCTCTTTTAATACAAGAGAGGATTATAGCGTAACGTCAGGACCGGGCACTGTGATCCAAAGAATTTCAAAGATTATATGGATAGCGACAAAGAATATATAAAACACTGTGATAAATAAAAAAATATATATATACAAAATAAAAATAAAATATAAGCTGCAGAACCTAACCTTACAGGTGCATATATCAGTGGAAAAACAGGTTTGCGCTCATGTTTAGTTGTGTAATATGAGCGCAAACCTGTTTTTCCACTGTGATCCAAAGGGTAGTTATATGAGCAAGGTCCAGAAATATGAATTTATTGGAACACCGGAATCATAAATTCTGTATTTTCAGCCAGCGCAAATTTAGAGATATTATAAATATTAGTTATTAAAACTCAAAAGGATAAGGATAGTGACCAGGGGCGGACTGACAACTCATGGGGCCCCCGGGCAATAGGGGATCATGGGGCCCCTGTGTCCTTGCCCAAACTCAAAAAAGCCTATGAAAAAGGTACCAGGGGCATCTCATGGGGCCCCCTACTGACCCCGGGCCCTCGGGCAGTGCCTGAGTTTCCAAATGGTCAGTCCGCCCCTGATAGTGACACATACTATATGCACAAAAGCACCGTCACACCTATATGAGCTTGTTGGACATCACATTCCCAGAACCAAGGCCATTAATATAGAGTTGCCCTCCCTTCCCATTTGCAGCTGTAATAGCCCCCACTCTTTTCGAAAGACATTCCATGTGCAGGACTTAGGATAGGGTTGCCACCTCATCCCTTTAAAACTGAACACATATTAATGACCCGGGTTCTGAGCAGGGGCGGACTGACCATTTGGAAACTCGGGCACTGCCCGAGGGCCCAGGGTCAGTAGGGGGCCCCATGAGATGCCCCTGGTACCTTTTTCATAGGCTTTTTTGAGTTTGGGCAAGGACACAGGGGCCCCATGATCCCCTATTGCCCGGGGGCCCCATGAGTTGTCAGTCCGCCCCTGGTTCTGAGGCTGACTTAATACAGAGAAAGCTCCAAGTGAGTTCAATTACCACCTTTATCAGCCCCAGAACCTGTGTCATCAATATGTGTTCAGTTTTAAAGGGATGAGGTGGCAACCCTAACTTAGGACTACCTCCCCCCCACCCCCGAAGGAGCCACTGGTTGGATGGGCACTTCTGTTTCCACCTAGTGATGACCCACCCAGTACCTGGACCAGACAGACACTGACAAACCTCAAACTGAGGAATGGGCTTTATTAAAAAAAACAGGCAAAAACCCTGTAAGGCGGGGGTCTCCAAACTGCGTCTCTTTGCTAGCCTTTATCCAACCCTTCGGGCACTATTCCCCCCAATGATATGGGACACTATCCCTTCCACTGACACAAACAATAATAATATTTCTTCAACTGAAACCAATGATGATGTGCTATTCTTTGCACTAACACCAATGTAGAACTACCCCCTTAGGAGTTGCTGAAAATGTGGGTCCCCCTATAGTCCTGCACTGATAGGCAACACACATTTCCTTCCAGGCCTTGCACCCCAGAGACAGTAAACAGTCCTTGAACTTTTTTTTTCTTTTTTTAGGGGATTTGAACTTGGATGGGGATGAGGGATACATTGGATGCCCAAGGAACTGTTAAACTGGGGGCAACTTCCTGGAACTATGTACAAATGTTCAGAAGGGTTTCTCTTCTTTGTAGAGCTTTCCAGCCTCTCCTGATATACCACCTCATACCCCAGATTAAATCTCTTCTTCACCTAGCTGCCTGAGGGAATCCATGGGCAAGGGGACCCAGAATCTGCCAGAATTTTAAAATCAGCAGTCCCTGAGGGGTTAGTCAGGTTTTCCACCAGAGTGCCCTCTCCACTTATCTAGCCAAGGGGATGTGGGATAACAACCTCAGTGCTCTCCTGCAAGCTTGAGGGTTGGTGGCTGCCCTCAGGCCTTATGCTGGGCTGGCTCCTTCCCTGCTTCCCAGGTTGTCCTCTCTCTGGGGATGGTTGAGGCAGAGAGATCCTCCCTCCCAACTCCTCTGCCTGTAAGTAGGCCCCTCTCCTGGACCTCCTCTCAGGCTCCACACTCCATCCTGCTCACTCCATCTTCAACTAAAACCCTCCTGCTATTGAG